TTTTCTCTTTAGACACTGCAATAACTGCTTGACATGTTTGTCATTATCATTTGGTTTGAAATACTTTCTAATTCCCATTGATTTGTTAACCACACCCTGCTAGGAACCTATCTTTAAATGTGTACTTGAATATTTGTGTAGCTGGTCCACTGAGATTACTGTAGATTCCAGACTACTGCTTTCTGTGGGGGCTCTATATTCCATGCTTCAACTCAGCAAATGCCCTGAGAAAAAAACATGGCGATCAGTGCAAGACTCACCTCTGTGCATTTCCCTCTCTCTGGGATTTTTGCTCTTCAAGTTCCAGTTACTTTGCTTGTTCTCCAGTACATTTTGTCTAGCTTTCTCTTCAGCAGGAAGAGCAGTATAATACCAGCTAATTCATCATAGTCCTCCTGCCATCATTTTAAGTTTTCCATACATCATGTTTTCTTTCTTGGTGCTTTTTCTTTTTTCTTTCTTTTTTTTCCTTTTGTTAACCTGTCTTGATTTTTGCTAGATAGATTACTGGTGTTGGATTTTTGTTTTTGTTTAATTCTTTTTCTGGCGATATATCATTTCTTTATTTACTTTCTTATTTGAAAATCTTATATCCGTTCTAATAGTTGTTTCTCTTAGGGTGTGTTTTTAACAAACAGATTTAAACATAAATTTTTTATATACAAAAATTAATCCACATCAGTAATCTCTGTCTTTTTTCCTCTCTGCTCCCTACCCTGCCCAAACAGAATGAGATTTCAGCCACATTATTGATGTCATCCTTTCCCTTTCCCCATATTTTATTGAAATTGTGGGGAATTTTAGTTCAAGATTTTTGTTCCATCATGCTGCATCTATTTTCATTATCCTTTTAAAAAAAATTAACTTTAATGAGATATGATTTACATACAAAATATAATACAGTTCTTTCTTAAAAATTGTGTTAAGCTTTATTGCCACTTAACATTAAAAATAAATTCTTTGCTCCTCACTATGTCTTATACCCTATATCTTCTCCTTTCTTTGATTCATTTTTCATTTTGTTGGTAAATATTCATGACTAATCTTTTGCTATTTCTTTTTTAATTGAAAATATATTTATGGCCAGGTGCAGTGGCTCATACCTATAATCCCAGCACTTAGACATGTCAAGGCAGGAGAATCCCTTGAGGCCAGGAGTTTGAGACCAGCCTGGACAACCTATCAAAACCCTGTCTCTGCAAAAAAATTTTTTTAAAAATTAGTCAGATGTGGTGGTGTGTGCCTGTAGTCCCACCTACTCAGGAGGCTGAGGCAGAAGGATCGCTTGAGCCTAGGAGTTCAAGGGTACAGTAAGCTGTGATCACGCCACTGTACTCCAGCCAGGGAAACAGAGTAAGACTCTGTCTCTTAAAAAAAAAAAAAAGTAAATGTCTTTATTTTGCCCTAGCACTTGAATGACATTTTAATTAGGTAATGCATTTTTTCATTTATAGTCCTTTTCCTTCACAACTCTGGGGAGACTAAGTCGTTGAGGTTTTTTTGCCATCTGGTGCCACCAATGAGAAATCTGATTCTTATCACTATGTTAACAGCCCAGTGCCTGTTGATGGCTTCATCTGCCTACCAGAAAGATTGTAGAATTTTCTCTTTGTTCTTAGACTTTGGAAATTTCACCAAGATGTGTTTATATGTATGTTTTCTTTCACTATTTCTATTTCACAGTTCATGAACCTTAATACCCTGAAGATTCAAATTTTACTTTGATTAATGGAACTTTTCATGTATTAGTTATTTCACCCTGTCCTTTGAATTCTTAAGATGGATATTTAACCTCCTGGATCTGCCTTCCATGTGTCTCAACTTCACCCTCATAATTTTTATATTTTATTACTTTGCCCTGCAGGAAAGATTTCTTCTAGATTGCTAATTTGCCTTTTAGCCACGTTCATTCTAATACTCAGCTCTTCTATTAAATGTTTTTAAAATATACTTTTTCAGCTTACCTTGAGGAATCTCCTATTCCATTCCTACCTATCACCATTCTAAGAAACCAGTTTTTAAATGATATTGATGATGTACAGATTAATTCATTTCTGACGATCTCTAAAGAAGAAGCCATCTCATCCTTACAACTAATTCATTTCAAAATTTAGTAGTTCAGACTCCTAGGGGATACTTTCTTACATCTCCTCTGACCCTTTATGTTTCCAGTGGGAATATGAGGCTCTGCTATAATGGTGGGGCACATGGGGAGAATCATATCATTTATTGTTCAAACCTGGATACTTTAGAAAGTAAAAGGGGCACTAATACAGTTACATGCATATGACAGATTGGAGCACTGCTAGAAAAATGGAAAATATGTCAATCCTAGGCATATGTAGCAGTATTGTAAAGATAGTCAGATTGGTTTTTATACCAGGGAAAAATCTGGGTGCAATAAACTAGAGACCCAGAGACAATCAATTAAGATCAGTAGGCCAGGTGCAGTGGCTCATGCCTGTAATCCTAGCACTCTGGGAGGCTAAGGCAGGAGGATCACTTGAAGTCTGGAGTTTGAGACCAGCCTGAGCAAGAGTGAAACCCTGTCTCTACCAAAAATAGAAAAAATTAGCCCAGTGTCGTGGTGCATACCTGTAGTTTCAGCTACTTGGGAGGCTGAAGCAGGAGGACTGGTTGAGCCCTGGAGTTTGAGGCTGCAGTGAGCTATGATGATGCCACTGCATTCTACTCAGGGTGACAGAGTGAGACCCTGTCTCAAAAAAAGAAAAAAATTAATCATCCTATTTGAAACTATAGTGGTTATCAAAATAAATCAGACTTAGTTATTCTTATTGAAGGTTAATACAAGTAAATTTTGGGAGACCAGTATATTTTTCATAAGCATGAGGAGCTAATATCTAAGTTGTATTCTTTTTTATTTCTATTTTTTATTTTGTAATATATAATAATTGCCTGTATTTATGGGTTACTTAGAGATGTTTTGATATAGTGTATAGTGATCAGATCAAGGTAATTAGCATATCTGTCATCTCAAACATTTATCTTTGTGTTGGGAGCATTCAATATCCTCCTAGCTATGCGAAGCTACAATATATTATTGTTAACTATAGTCATCCTACAGTAGTATAGAACACTAGAACTTACTCCTCCTTTCCAGCTGTAATCTAAATTGTCTTCTTTGCTGAGAATTTTATCTCTATAGTATCTGATTCCTTTGCTGTAGTGGCCAGAGTATGAAGTCAAAGAAACTCAGGTCTCAACACTGGCTCTTCCTCTTACCAATTCCATGACGTAAACAGCCCAGTCCCTGTCACAGAGAGCATCTCAGTAAATATTGGATGAGTCAATGTGTGAAGTTTTTAAACATTTGAGGTTCACTTTCCTTATCTACAAAGTAGGGATAACAATGGGGCTGCCTATGGATTACAGATAATTTATGTAAAACCTCTTGGCATTTAGTAGGCATTCAATTAGTGCTAAGTATAAGAATATTAAATTATATGTTAGAATCCTTTCATTAATATCAAACAAACAATAGGAGTTATCTAGGGTTATGGCGGTGGTGAGAGGAATATACCTATTATACATGTCGCAGTTGCTTCAGGGAATTGTTTATTCCTCTTCTGCTGCATTTATTAAAGCAGATTGTATGTTCAGCGTTTCGGAGCAGGATCAAGACTTAAGGGGTAAAGACACAGTCTTAAGGAGCATGTAAACCAATTAGAGAGATCTGGACACAAATAGAACACACTCTTAAAAAATAATAAAGCAAATGTGAGGCACATGTGAAGGAGGGAATGAAGAAGTTGAGTTCGTGTGGGAAAGGTTAAGTAGAAGTGAGTTTGGAATTGGCACTAAGACCGTGTGGAGATTACTCAGACTATGTGTGGGGACGGTGCGGTGTGGGTGTCCTGGGTGCAGGCGGATCCTGGGGCAGCAGGAGACTGGTGGCTTGAGATAGAGGAGCTCCTCAGTGGGAGCATTGAAAGGTGAGGTGGGTTAGGCAGAGTGAAACCCAATTGCAGATCACCTTGGTAATTGCATTAACTTTTCATTTTGCCATTTCTCACGGACTTCGCCAGTTATGCCTTGTTTGAATACAGAAACTTTCCAGAGAGGGTCAGAGCTATTAGATTGGCAATGTTTATACTTTGAGGTGGTCTGCCTTGACTTTTTTTTTCTACCCAAAGATAACAATTTGAACAGGTTAAGCCTGGTTTTAACAAATCACAGGGTATAAAGAAAGGCCAGCTAATAGTTATGGGACTAGGTTATTTCTTTGGCAACCAACACTTAAAGTGGACATATTGAGGAAGACTGGTCTTTATCTGAAGTAGTTCTGGCAATTTAAAATATGTTCCTCATAAAAATGAGAAGATGTGAGCCCCTCTGGAGTACTCTTCCCTCTTTCTCTAATATTTGTCTCACTTGGCTTTCCATATCTATTTAGAAGGTAGTTGATGGGTTGTGGAATCAGGGTTTAAATATCTCTCTCTTTATTAATTTGTGAGAAGAATTAAAGAAATATGCTAATGCCATTTCATTCAAGGCATCCAGTAATGGCACACAAGATGTTTGAGACTATATATTATAAAGAAATGATAGTGCTTCTGTGCTAAGGATGTGTAATTTTTCTCTTTCTTTCCTTCTTGCCTTCCTGCCTTCTTTCCATATATCTTTTGATTGCTATTATTAGAGAAATGCTATTTTTTTCTAGTGAAAATTTTAGATAGAACATTCCTTGTTTTTTCACATTCATTTTTTCCCCTTCTATTATTGCAATGACTACATTAGTGCATACGTTAGTATGTATGGCAAAATAGTTGGGATTAAATGCAAGGTTACTGCCTTGATTCCATGCTATAAATATTGTTCCCTATTTTATTTATTCTAATATATGTATACTTGAAAATTTTTTTATTTTTGAAAGTGTTATGTTTTAGGAGTTTTCTGTTTTTTAACATGATCCCAAGATGTAATTCTCTAAAGAAGAGAATGGCAAATTATTTTAATGTTTTTATTGTTTTTGTTTCTAGCTTATTCTACTAAGCTCAACAAATTTCCTGTATTTAATATTAATGATGACTTGAATGATCTATGTACCAGTGCAGTAAGCCCAAATACTACCAAAGCCACGCGGTACGCCCTGAATGTGTGGCGATATTGGTGCATGACCAACGGGCTCAAAGATCACACGGACATCACCAAGGTAAGGGACTCTTGAGTTTACTTCTTTTTTCAGCCAAATTCACTGAGCTTCCAAGTCCCAGGCACTGTGCTAAGCATTGTAGGGAACACAGAATAGTTGCTGTCTGCCTGGGGAAACTTTTTAAAGAACATAAAATAGAAAAAAACATATTCACAGTACAAAGCAGAATTTAATATGTGTTTTATGAATTTATAGAATAGAAATGCCTGAAAAATTCAGTTAGATAAATTAAGTTTGGTAAAACTAGAGAGTATTGATATTTCAGCCATATTTTGAGGAAGAGGTAGGATTTTAGTAGAATTAGGTGAAGACAGGAGTTTTCTAGGCTGAGTGATGTGAGGAAGAGTAAAATTTGGAGCAAATCTTGCCTAGGGCAAGAGGCTGATCATATATCAATATAGCAGACTATAAAATCAGATTTTTATGAGTACAAAGCTAAAATCTTGTGAACATTGAGAAGTCATTGAGGTTTATTTTTGTTTTCGCTAAGGCCAGACTCTATTGGAAAGGATTATTGCAGTGGGGGGAGAGGGATTATTGCAGTAGGGAGGACACTCTGACCATAAGATCTGCAAGCATCTTAAGGGTTAGACAAAAGGGCAACCACTGAAGTTTTTTGAGCAGGAAGGAACATAAAGAAAGAGGTACTCTGGAGAAATTAGTTGGGAGTGATAAGCAAAAAGCTATTTAACATCCTTGGTCCTCAGTTGCCCCATTTTTAAAATAAGATTTTAAGATCCCTTCTAGTTTGAAATGTTTGAAGTTTGTAAATGGAAGAAAAATAATCTTGGACATGTGGAGGCAGATGTCCAAAATACAGAAAGATACTGTATTTTTATTTATATTCAGTCTAAATCAGATGGATGTGTCCAATAAGCAGTTCGGAATATGAGATTTAAAACATGGTGGAAATATTCAAGCTGGAAGTATATATTAAAAGATCTTGAAAATAGAGGTCATAGTTGAAGCCCAGGGGCAAGTGAGATCTCAGAGTTTGGGTGACATGTTTAGGAAATCAACAAGAGATAAAATAAGAAATCCAGGTTTCCTCTTCTGGCAGCACAGTGTACTAGACAGTGTGAGGGGCCTTTCTGCTACACTTGCAGAAAGAAAGGAAAACATCCATAGCTCTCCCCTCCCCCAAACAAAGGAGAGGTACAACTGGAGCAGTGAGCAGTAAGCACATGTGAAAGGCAGGGTTCTCCCTGAAGGCATATGTTGATAACATTAAGAAAGGGAAGAGACAAGTAGATGAACTGAAGAATCCTTGATTAAGGAGAAGACCCTGAAAGGATTCTCAGGATCTAGGTCAGTAGCATACCCTGACTCCTACCAGAGTCATATGCTAATACTTTTTAAGGGAAACATCCAAAATGTAGGTATTCAGGTTTTTTTGCAAATTAATATCAACTAAATATGTGCTCATTTAAAAAAAAAATCACCAGCCACTCAAGGAAATAAACTACCATGAGTGAGAGTGAATATCTCAGTGTTGGAAAAAAATAAAAAAGGTAAAAAGAGAAAGAGAAAAAAAAGAAAAAAAGAGAGAGAATGAATAAAAACAACAAACAAGGCCGGGTGCGGTGGCTCATGCCTGTAATCCTAGCACTCTGGGAGGCCGAGGCGGGAGGATTGTTTGAGCTCAGGAGTTCGAGACCAGCCTGAGCAAGAGTGAGACCCTGTCTCTACTAAAAATAGAAAGAAATTAATCGGACAACTAAAAATATATAGAACAAATTAGCCGAGCATGGTGGCGCATGCCTGTAGTCCCAGCTACTCGGGAGGCTGAGGCAGAAGGATCACTTGAGCCCAGGAGTTTGAGGTTGCTGTGAGCTAGGCTGACGCCACAGTATACTCTAGCCCAGGCAACAGAGCAAGACTCTGTCTCTAAATAAATAAATAAATAAATAAAGACTGAGAAAGATTGAAAGTAAACGGATAGGAGAAAGATATACTATGTAAACATTAATCATAAGAAACCTTAAGTGACTATTAGTATCAAAGTAGACTTCCACTGAAGGAATTTAATAAGAATAAAGAGGAAACTTTCATAATGAGAAAAACGTCAATTCGTCAAGAAGATATGAAGATCTAAGTGTGTATGTACTTAAAAACAGGGCATAAAAGTATATGAAGTAATAAATGAAAAAAATTAAAGGAAAGATAGCAGGTCCACAATTGGCAATATTAACACTTCTCTCTTGGTAATTTATAGAACAAGTAGGCAGAAAATCAGCAGGGATAAGGACTTAACACTGTCAACCTGACTTAACCTAATTGGTGTGTATATAACACTGTCATCAACAACTGCAGAATACACCTTCATTCTAAATTCACATGAAATATTCACAAAATTAGACTATAATGCTGAGTCATAAAACAAGTCTCAATTAATTTAAGAGGATTGAAATCATACAGAGTATATTCTCTGTCCACAACAGAATTAAAATGTACATTAATAACAGATTGTTAACTAGAAAGTTCCTAATACTTGGAAGTTACACATGACTAAATAACCCATGGAACAAGGAGAAATTACAAAGAAAGTTATAAAATGTCTTGAACTGAATGAAAATTAAATCACAATTTATCAGATTTTATGGGATTAATTTAAATCAATATTTAGAGAAAAATTAGCTTTAAATGCTTATATTATAAAAGAAGAAAGGTCTAAGTCAATAACTATGAAACAAAAAGAACTTCAAGAAATAAAAACATACTGTTGAAATTAAAAATATATTGGGTTAAAAAGCAGGTTTAGACTCAAATGAAAAAATAATTAGTAAATTATAAGAAAGATCTGAAGAAACAATCTGGAATATAGCACAGATAACAAAGTTATGGCAGTTAATAAGAGAGGTTAACATTTAGAGAATAGAGAAAATTCAACTTATTAAAACCAGGAATGAAAGAGGGGATATTACTACCAACCTTACAGAAATAAAAAGAATTACAAGGGAATTCTGTGAACAATCATATGCCAACAAATTAGGTAATTTTGATGAAATGAACAAATTCGTAGAAAGACACAAACTACCAAAACTGACTCAAGAAGAAATAGAAAATATGGTAGACTTGTAAGAAGTAAAGAGAATGAATTCATAACAGCAATAACAAAAACTACCCACAAAGAAAAGCTCAGGCCCAGATGGCTTCCCTGGTGAATACCAGTCCTTCACAAAGTCTTCTAAAAAAAAAAAAGAGGAGGAAGGAATTCTTCCCAATTCATCATATGAGGCCAGTATTACCCGGATACCAAAATCAGACAAAGACATTACAAGAAAACCACAGACCAATACCAATTATGAATATACACACAAAAATCCTCAGTAAAACACTAACAAATTGAATCCAGTACATATAAAAAGAATTATACACCATGATCAAGTGGGCTTCATCCTAGAAATATAAAGTTGGTTTAACACCTAAAAATCAATTAATGTAATATATCATATTAATAGGATAAAGGACAAAAGGATGAAGCCTCATAATCATGTCAATAGGAGTAGAAAATATATTTGAGAAAATTCAACACCCCTTCATGATAAACAAAAAAACTCAACAAACTAGAAATAGGAAGGATCTCTCTCAACCTGATAGGAGACATCTATGAAAAATCTACAGCTAACATCATACTTAGTGGTAAAAGACTGAATGCTTTCCCCCTTAGATCAGGAATAAGACAAGAATGTTTGCTCTCGCCATTTCTATTGAACATTGTGCTGTAGGTTCAAGCCAGGGCGATTAGGCAATAGGATGAAATAGGCTTCCAGAATGGAAAAGAAATAAACTATCTCTTTTTGCAAATGGCATGATTGTGTATATAGAAAATCCTAAAGAAACCACTAGAAAATGATTAGAAATAATAAATGAGTTCAGCAAGGTTGCAAGATCAATATACAAAAATTAGTTGTGTTTTTAGAGTAGCAATCAGCAACCCAAAAATAAAATTAAGAAAATAATTCAATTTACAATAGCATCAAAAAGAATAAAATATTTAGAATTAAATTTAACAAAAAAAGTTCCAGATTATACATTGCAAACAAGATTATTACAAAGAAGAGTTTGAAGCATTTCCCAAAAAGCAACTCTTGGTTTTACTTGTCTTATCACCTGTCTCTTGCAAATGTCAAGGATTGATATATAGTTCTAGAACTTTAGAATTTGCCAAGCAAGTCAGTTTTTTTCTTATTTTATTCTTTCCTACCTGGGGTCATCAGTCCCATAACCAATTTCTTGCTTCTCTTTGGTCATTTTTACATCAAGGAAGCCAAGTTTCTAATCCATGGTGAATCTTGTTGGGGTAAATCAATTCAGAGTGGTTAATGAAGGAAAATGGTTTCTTGCAACATCTTATTAACCGACTAAATACCTTTGTAACTTGGAGGAGTAATCAGCAACCAAAACTGGGTCTGAGAAAACAAAAGAGGCAGCCAACACAGGCCAGAATGAACTGTTTCTTGTGTGCAAACGATATAAATTTTGTGACTTAACATTTCTCCAGGAGTTGCTTTTGTGGTCATTTCACTTTGAAACTTCTGGTATTCTGTGGAAATTAAGAAAAATGTTCTGTATCCTAAGTTGGCTTGGTTCTCCTGACACCAAGGTTAATTTCTTGATTTAACCCATCATTATCAATTCACTGGGTGTCAATTATATATTTCTGGCCTTCTGGTGTGTGTTGAAGCCCCAGTCATGAATGGGATATAGTTCTTGCCTTTAAGGAGCTTTCAGTCCACTCTGAGAGATAGACATATAAATAGATAACATACTGTACAATATGGAAAGGACCATAATAAAAATTCAAACTAAGCGCCTTGGGATTCCCAGGTGAGAGAGTAACTTTGCTTAGGGAAGCTGGAGAAGCTTTTATACAGAAGGCAGAATTTGAGCTAATTTTGGAAGAATGAATCAAGATTTTCCAAACAGAGAAGGTTAGAAGTAAAGCATTCTGGACAGAAGAACTAGTAGCATGTGCAAAGACTTAGAAGCATGAAAGG